AACAAGCTATTTTAACTGACGAAAGTTTTTGTTCTAAGATTATGATTTTAAAGCCAATTTAAGTTATAATAATTTTAGTTATTGCGAAGGCATTTATAAACTTTTGTAATCATCATGAGATGTTAAAATATAAAATATAAAAAAAAACTTTACTGTCTCCTTTTAAAACTTTAAAACTTTGCAGTAAAAGTCTTAAGCATTTAAATTCAAAAATCTTACCGTACAAATTACCGTCTCTTCTAAATAATTATTTAAATAATCATTTAGTTTTGCGTTTACTGTGCGCGTTTTTTTTTCTCCAAAAAGGACGTGATATTTAATGTTAAAGTTTAAAAGATGAATATAGCAAAAATAAAAATAAAATAAAATTGAAGAATAATAAAGTATCGACTTTAGCTTCTGTATCGCAGATAAGGCACTGGACTGTAATTAAAAACTACCGAAAGTCCTAGCTTCAATGATAGCTTGAAGCACCCCTAGATTTAAATCGATAGGTGCTATCTTTCTGAAGGACGAAGGTGACCATAATACTGGCCACATTGTCATCATCAGGTTATTGGTCTCAAAGTTGAGGAACCTTTTCCTCAACAACCCCTCTTCCTGATTATTCATAGACAATCGTAAAGTTTGTTTTTTTTTCCTTCATATTTTTAGGCACTATATTTACCAGAATTTGAAAATTACTTATTTATCTACACTGTTAAAAGTTTCACTCTAAAAGGATGGTGAAACAACCTTCAGCAGTCTTTTCATCCCATTAACCGTAAAGTTTACGGTGAAGAACAGTTTTCACTTTTATGCTTTAGAAACCGTTTACAGCTAGCATGGTTAAAAAACCATTAATGCAAAACTCTATGTTTCTTAACCATTTACATCTAGCATGGAATCAAAACCGTAAAAAAGAAATTTAACTGAACATTGGAGATAGTAAAGCTACTTGATGATGCTTCCATCTATATAGAGTATCGTACTCTAACAGACCAGGGTCACAAATTAGGGAGTGATAGACTTGGAAACTATTCATGTTGTGAAGAGAATGACGGAAATATTGTCGTGTCAACGCTAAGACTCGAACCCTGTTATGGCGATCATGATACTGACAAATTAACTTTCTCGGCTTACATAGGTAACCAAATATAAGGAACTAAATGGCTTCATTAGGTGAACCTAGTTGGTGCGATGAAAATTCTGGTTGTTTAACCGTATTAGGTGTAAGCAGTTCATCATCATCATCATAGTTGGCCAGACAGCCCAATGTGAGCCAATGCCTTCCTTCACGACGACCTCCGACGACTGTAAGCAGTTAATAAACCGTTTTTCTCGCAGTTAACAGTTTGAATACCATTTCATTTATGGATATCTGACTGTTTTGTTTGAATATGGTAAAGTAACAATTAAATATGTCGTTATTTAATCATTTTTCCGAGAAATTTCTATCATCAGTGTATTGAGGTTTCAGAAATGAGGTATTTGACAGAATTTATTGCTATGTGAAAAGATTGCATTATCATCACTGTAATGTAACATCTATATCTGCCAGAGGGTTGACGTATCTGGTTAGAAAAAGACTTGCTTCAACTCAAACTCAATTATGATAAAATTAATTTCGTAAGTGATATTTCTAGTTTAATAATTTTTCATATACATAAAAATCTGAATTGAAGATATTAATAGAATTAATTTAATTGAATACATTTAATCAGAATGACATATTAATAAAATTATATTCATTAAATAAGATTATGTTTATTAAGTAAGATTATGTTTATTAAATAAGATTATATTTATAATCCAATTTAGCAGCGTCTAGGTTGCTTAATTACTTTCAAATTATTTTAATTTTAAATATATTTATAAAATAAATACGCTTTCCTTAAAAGAAGTTTGCTCAGAAGAAATTTATTTAATGTTCACTAATTAGTTGAGTTTAAACCATTAATGCTTTCTGCAAAAGTTTCGTTCATTATTGCATACAATACGCGTATATTATAAGAGTTTGGATTCCAATAATTGTATAAAATATGAATTCCGTTTTCTTATCTCATTATTTTTAAAACTCGACGAAGGAAATGGGAAACTTTCATTTCAAATTCTTTGGGAATTTGCCTTGCAAATTAAATGGGGCTTAAAAATTCCAGAATAATTTGCGTCGGAGAAAACTGAGTTACGCTTACCACATATATCTCATAAATGCTGCTCAAATCTCAAAACTGTTCGTAAAGTTTAATGAATATGAGATTACGACTTCTTTTTAAGTAACACGTATTCTAATAATTTTTCCTTAATTATGCTAATTATAAGACAGAATACGAAATAATTTCATAATATTTTAAGCCTTTTGACTTGCTTTTATTTTTACTAACACTGAACTGAGAAAACGGAGGATATATATATTTTGGCCTAGCTTGTGATGAAAATTTAATTTGTCTGTTTCACGAATCTTTACGACGCTATTTTAAAATGGAAATAATTTCTATTTTAATCTCCAGTATTCTTTTTTCGCTTTTATGTCAGCTTAAAATTGTTTAATATAAGAATTTTTTTTCCCTTTACGCTTTCTTGACGCGTTAAATTTTACTGGAAACGAATAATAACTAATTATGTAAGAAAAAGTTAAGTTTGAAAATGTGATTACTCTAGACGAGATAAAACTAAATTTATTTTATTATGCAAATTCTTTCGTAACTAATTTAATTCTTTTTTATTCAAATAATTTTCTGGATTACTTAATTGAGACAATTATGGTTTTAATGAATGTAAAAAGTTTGTTCTTGGGTAGAAAAACGTGTCAATTTATTTAAGGCTTTCTTTTTTAATGGTAACACATAAAATGTTTCTGCTATTTCTTACAATAATATAAATAAAATAGTAAGAAGTATTATAAAAATATATTTTTTAAAATATATTTTGAAGTCATTACGACTCCAAAAAAATAATAATTAAAAATACAGTATCTCACAACAAGTATGTTTTTTGTTAAAAAAAATGTACTGAAGAATATTTAGAACTTAATGGCCAGTGGATGGTTAAGGATATTTTCTTCCCAAAATAAAAATGTTCTTGACGAAATAGTAACAAAACAAGTACTTAAAATTGAAATTAACCGAATTGCTATCTTCAAATTTCAGAGGGTTCTCTAATTCCAAAAACTGCTTGTGATGTGATTTAGTTTAATGCATAAAAGGAAGAAAAAATATTTCATAAAAAAGCAAAACAAAAGAAAATTATAAAAGAAAAATTCAAAAAATAAGGTCCAAACAAAAATACTGATATATTAACCTGAATTATAACACGAGTTTGAAGCAAAAATGTCTTTCTCTTAAGCTTTTCGATATATATTAGTTTTAATTTCCATTATTGATATTTGATCAAAGAAGTTTTTTCAAAGAAGTTTTATCTTTTTGATCTTAATTATTTGTGTTTTCTTTCAGTATTAATTATTTTAGTTTATTTGAATTGATCTGCAGAGTTAAGAATGTTTTTCATTAACCAGATATCGAGCTACAAAAAAAAACTTAACCAATTATATATGTTTTTAATTTAATTCCTTTTAATTAAAATAACTTGAATATTAGATTATTTGTGGTTGTGTGGCGCAGTTGGTTTGTCGTCGGCATTCTGAGCCCAAGTCTGCGGGTTCGATCCCCAACCCAGACACCGGATTTTCGGAATGCAGAAAATCCTCAGCGGCCATGTCGTATGATTGTAAAAGATCCCTGGAGTGCCTTATTGGCTCTTGGCATTTCTGGCAAAATTAAATGTGAGCACTTTAGCATCCAAATAGAGTCTCGGTGCTGCCATCTAGTGTGGCAGAAACTGGACGTCCAAATTAACATGACCAACTCTCACCCATTGTGGTGGTCCTGAAAGAGTGGATACCACCTCTAGAGAACGCACTAGGTCTGCTCATCGGCAAGACCGATTGTGCAGTTCACTGGAAAAAAATGATTATTTTACATTAAATTAATAAATATTTATCAAAAAAAGCTTTTTTTTTCACATTTATTTTCAATATATTATTTTAGTAATTCAGTGTATTAGTACGAAGAAGTTTATGGTGTAAAAAGTTTATACACCATTGACACATATATAGTGTTGTTTCGAGTAAAAAGGTTGTGGTTTTAATGATCTTATATATTTTTTTTCAAATAAAACCCTTTCGAACACAAAATTAATAAAACGTCAAGTTTCTTTAATATTTCCGTTGGTATAAAGTGTTGTTTCGAGTAAAAAGGTTGTGGTTTTAACGATCTTATATTTTTTTTTCAAATAAAACCCTTTTGAACTCAAAATTAATAAAACGTCAGGAGATTTTTCTTTAATATTTCCGTTAGTATATAGTGTTGTTTCGAGTAAAAAGGTTGTGGTCTTAATGATCTTATATTTTTTACTTCAAATATGACCCTTTTGAACGCAAAATTAATAAAACGTCAGGAGATTTTTCTTTAATATTTCCGTTAGTATATAGTGCTGTTTCGAGTAAAAAGGTTGTGGTTTTAATGATCATATATATTTTTTTCAAATAAAACCTTTTTGAACGCAAAATCAATAAAACGTCAGGAGATTTTTCTTTAATATTTTCGTTGGTAATCAAAGGATAGCTAAAATAATAGAAATAATAAATAATGTATTTATAAATACTGCATGAAAAATAAAGAAGCTGCAGAGAAAAATATTTTAAAAGGGAAATCTGTGAATAAATTGATATCTATAATAAAAACTTAATTTACAATGCAGGGATTTGATGTTTATTTTTATTTAAGAGAATGGTTTGCTCTTTTCTGTTAAGTTGAAAATCGAGTATGAAATAATAAAAAAAATCGTATCGTATTATCAGTATCGTAAATCAAATTAATAAGATTTTGAATTTCTTTTAAAATTCATGTGAAAGGGTACATAAAAATGGTTTAGGGCGAAAGTTTCTTTTAAAAAATTTAAATGATCATTTTCGATAAATTAATTAACACATATATTTGATGGCAATATTTTATCTGTTATAGGAACGGATAAACAGCATGAATATGCCGAGCCCTACACAGCATATCCATCTTCGAGGCAGGTAAATAATTGTGAATTATAAACAAGTATATATTATTTTAATTTCCGTAATCCTTAGTTAAAAGTTACAACAAGTACTATTTTTGCAAGAAATTGCACTTTCCATTAGCACTTTCCATTAGAAATTGCACTTATTTTTGCAGTAGCAAATAAGACAGTGCACTTTCCACTGTCTTAGGTCTATAAAATGCATTTAGTGAATGCATTATAAAAGTAAACTTTTTGAGAAAAATACATTTTTTTTTTTGAAAATAAGTTGCGATAGGATATAAACTAACGTCAAGTATTTTGTATTAGATTTAAAAGGAATCGTAATAAAACTGATAGAGATTGAAAATTATTATTTTATGTAATTATAGTAAGTCTACGGGTTATAAGGTTTCAGCAATCAGGTCATCAAAATATTTAGCAAATAGAATTAGATTCTTAAAACATCGTAGATTGTATCATTTCATAAGATTTCAGCAAAAATATTAACATTAAAAGGTTATTTTAGATAGAAATTAGACATTATTCCCTTCACTGTTTATTTATGGAGATAAATATGAACGCAATTTAGATATTGGTTAAATATTTATTTTTTGTAATAATTTTTCTTCTATTTGAATCACTGAAATGGATAAAGCTAACCAACAAGTACAAGATGAAAATACTATAACTTTGGTTTAATAAATAAAAACCTTTCTCAGTATCGAAACACAACTTTTTTTTGTGTTCCGGCCTTTTTTGTTTGTTTTTTGACGAAATAAAGTACTCATTTTGTTATGGCAATTACTAACTAATAAATTTGAAGGTGTAATCTTTTTCTTACTCTGTAGCAATCGTTATATAGTCCTCTACTTCTATTTAATCATTTTAGTCGAATTTTAACATTCATGGTTCTGGAATTCTAGTCACAACATTTTTTTATGGCTGGTATTGCAGTGCATAAAACTTGGGTAAATATAGGATAAAAGCAAATTTTCATTAAATATAATTAGAAATGCTTATGTATGTTACTTTGAATGACCCAAATTGTTCGTTGTTGACTTTCATCAGTGAATGTTGACAATCACATAGTCGCTTTGTCAAATGACCGAAATTTAAACTTGATCTAGTTAAATGCCACTGCCCGGTAAACCCTACAATAATGATTTTTTAAGGTTCAGATTCAGTTTCTGGTATGCCCTACATCAATATTTTCTTAAGGCCCTGTGCCACTGTCCCGTATGCATTTAACCGGTACTCCGAGCACCGATGTTTCATCTAATTTATCCTCAGCAGATATTAAAATATCGAATAATGTAAACGAATAAATTAATGTGAAATCGGATATAACAAATATTTCGGACATTCACCAAAGCGACTACGTAATTGTCAATATTCATCTGTGAAGGTTGACATTCTCATTCAGCAAGACTCTATATCAAACATTTTATGAGATAAGACCGGAAAGCTTTGCTCACATCTCGTATTTCTTTGAGAAGTTGGAAGAGCAGCTTAGAACAGGGTATTGGCGATAAGCCCCGCAATAAAGGTGTTGCAGAATTCAGACTTGCGGTGGGCCATGATTGCCTGGCAAACCACCTCTGCCGCATCGGCATTCTCGCTGACCCAAATTGCCCGTTATGCTCGAATAATGAACTTATGGAACCATCTATTGAGATGCTCGGCTCTGCGTGGGGACTTTGGGGTGAGGCGCTACTGGAGTGCGCGACATCTGTTAATGAGATAGCGACTTTTTTCTCCTGCTTGTTGTTCACCTTTTCGTTCACTGTTTTTTGTAAGAGTTTGTCACTTTCTTTTGCCATTAGAAATAAAAAAGAAAGTTGACATTCTCTTGACTTCGGTCATTAAAGGTAAAATATTCTCAAAGGGACGGTTCAAATATAAAGCATACTATCGGTAATAGGGTAGAAATTTGTTGCAACTTTAATAAAGTATTCAATTGAATCAAGTTTTAAAAAAAGGATAGTAGAATTTATTTTATCACTATAATAAAGCGCAAAGCATTTAAACTTTATTACCCGATTGAATAAGCGAAAAAATGAAATAACTGTCGATATGTTTAAGGAGTTTCAAACATAAGCACGCATTTTCAAGACTTGTCAGACCTGAATGGAAGGTTGACCGTGTAAAGCTACGCACAGATGGCGCTAGGGGTTAAAATTCGTCCTAAGACTTCTGGGTTGTGACTTCCGATTGATTTCTTCACCTAAGCTTGAAAAAGCGAGCTATTCTATTTTATTATACTTGTAGTGTTTTTCAATATGACGCGTTCTTTCAATTTAACTTTCAACGAAACAAATAATGAAAGAATTCGGAAGACTCCTCAAGCTTACTATGATTCTACTCAAAAAATTAAGAAAAACGGTGCTATTTTACCCAAATGTTCCCAAATGGGGGAACACTCAAAACATGATATACCTTAGCTTTATTTCTGTTGTGATAATAATTTTCTTAAAATTGTCCTTGGTTCACGATCTGTTGGAATTAATAAATTACAGAAAACTGTTATGAACAGTAAAATGTCCCCAAATAGGGGAACACTCAAAACATGACATACCTTAGCTTTATTTCTGTTGTGATAATAATTTTCTTAAAATTGTCCTTGGTTCACGATCTGTTGGAATTAATAAATTACAGAAAACTGTTATGAACTGTAAAATGTCCCCAAATAGGGGAACACTCAAAACATGACATACCTTAGCTTTATTTCTGTTGTGATAATAATTTTCTTAAAATTGTCCTTGGTTCACGATGTGTTGGAATTAATAAATTACAGAAAACT